TCAGTAATGAGATGGGTTGTTGAAATTCCAAAGCGCCCCGCATGTCTATTGCACACTTGCAAGGCACGGCCGTCTCTTTTTCAGTCGTTGAAAGTCTTCCCATGCTTGGCACCGGTTACTTTAAGCGAGGCGCGGTTTCGATAAATTCGTGCAGAAGGCCACCACAGTCATGCGGATCTTTTAGCATCGCAAGAGGTTGTAACAAAGTAACATCGACCTGAGGGAGGGTTTGTGTTCAGCGGTTTTCTTGAAAACAAGGGTTTGTAGGGGTTGCTCAGTCTCGTGGGCTCACAAAACCTCCCTTAGGTCGATATCGCATGAGAGTGGGGGAAGGAGGATTAAGGGGGTCCAAAACTCCCTCCTTCCATACCTTGCATTTCCAGTTCCCGCCCGTTTTTCCTTGACTTCCTCCCTTTAGCCAACTTCTCTCCCGCCTCCCATACCCCTCCCTTCCCCTATTCTCCCGGCCTTTCTGTCCCCTGTCCTCCCCCGCATAAGAAATTATTTTTTTTTCATATGATTTCTTAATCGCCTAAACACATTTGGATGATTATATGGAAACTAAGCTTTACTTGAAATCCGTTTTTTGGGTCGATTGTTATGGATATAAAATGCAAGTAAATAATGATCAATTCGCTCTGCAAAAGAATCCTCTGCGATTGAGTTCGCGTCTAACGTTTTAGTGATTTGGTTTAGGGTTTTCCGCTGATAGAGGCTTGATGCCCCACTAAATTTTCAATTCTAGCTTGAGGAAAAACAAAGAAAAGAAGCCAGAGAGAGAAAAGAAGCTGGTGTAGAATGGAAAACAAAGGTTAGTTGTTCTTCATTCACATAAAATTGACCATTAGTGAATTCAAAAAGGACTTAACGCAAATCGCCACGGCGACCTCAAGTACGACGGTCGTGGATGGGGAGTCCTGGAGAGACTAGGTCTCCGTAACTTGCCAAATTTCAACTTTAAGAAAACATTGACTACGCCCCTTCGCCGTATTAGAGGTCGCCGTAAAGATTTGCTTAAATTTCCTAATGAAAAGTGGCTAAAATGATGGTACAATGTTGTCTGTAAAGACTATTGACCTTTCTTCTTATTTTACGGTACCTATTTACAAGGGAGGTAAGCAAACCATACACCTATAACTCATCTAACCGGGGCAATTTTTCTCCGTCATGCGTGACCAGTAATCTTGAAAGTGAATAAATTTATTCAGGTTTTGTACAAAATTTTTAAACCTTCCACTCTGCAGTCAACCGCTCTACCGACAGCGCAGGTCGTGCAGCTGTGAATAGTACTATACCTAAGGTCCGAGTTATGTCCATATCTAGATATAAATGCCGTGGATAACAACGTGACTGGTAAAACTTAAGTGATGCTTGCTTGAATAGTCATGTCCTTAACTCATGAGCCCCAGTTTGAAAATTGACTGGTTAAAATTTGCTTCAGCTAGTCAGAAGCACTACCCAGATCTGGCTAGTGACAAGTCATCAGTTTAGAGATTCTGTGCTCGTTCCTCAGACCTCGGAAACCACCGTTTTCCTCAGGCTATTCCTGTTCTTAATTTTAATACGACTTTTTGATACTGTTACTCGAATGATGACATGAGTTTCACTGCCATCTCATATCTTGTTATTTTTTTTTTAGATCTTTCATCGTCACGGAGACGGTTGGATGTACAATAATCACATGAAACATTTGGTGAAGCCGAGTGATGAAGAAAATTCTGCTGCAGAATCCGCCGATGTAACTGAGCGATAATTCGCTATGTCCTACTTTCATAGATAGTAGTAATATCGCTGTGGGTTCTTTTAACAAGGCTCAAGTTCATAGTTCAACCAAGGCGTTGACTGTCAGCTGAAAGAGCGATCTCTTTCCTTTGGTTGACACAGGCTGCCCATGTGAGAAACTCTGGATAGACTTAACCTAAGATCGGGCTCTATTTTTGTTTCGCTTTGAAAATAACATTCCAGCGGGCAAGGAGAATGTATGAGAACCGCTAAAATTGGGCCTGATCTCAGGTTAGGATAGACTGCACGCAGTTTCTCTTTTTCTGTAGATTCATCGAGGGGGTGGGAGAGGGGGACAGACGCTCGCAAAAGCGGCACGCGCATGATGATTTGCGTGTCTCACGGACTAAGAAAAAAAACAAGAGGCTGCTCGTAGTCTAAACTCTGGATGACAACTATACATTGTACAAAATGATACATTGAAGCTGCCACGAGTTACATAACTGTTTTCATCGTTCATTAAACGAGTTATGATAACAATCAAAACAAAAGCAGTAATACCAGTATAGGTTAATAAACAAGCCGTGAGAATAAAAAAATGAAAAAGTTTTTTAATTTTCGTGCTGCCTCATTATTTCAATTTTTTATAAAAATGATTTTGTTAAATTTAAACCAAAACAAGCGAGCTAGTTAGTGAGCGTTTTTGAGATCAAATTATTTCTCTTTAAAGTATAATTAGCAAGTTTTTTTTTTCTCTTTTATAATTTAGGGTTTGCTGCCTTTATTGTCTTCATTGCAATTTGAGAATTTACCTTTCTCCCTTAACATCTTAAATACAGTGGTGTTTTTTCAAAAACGCGTAACAACTGGCAGTAAAGTGGAAGTAAAAATAATTATGATTCCCTTGTACTGTTCTTGGAATTCCGTCGTCTGGAACACAACACAGAGTGTAAATTCTTTTTTATGGTCTTTTCACTGGTTAATTAATAGGAAAAGCATGCACATGTATGCCTTGTCCGATGTAACACAAATAGAAAGTATGATGCCTCTTTTGGGACTTGTAACTAAACACTATACATGTAATTAGGTGAAAACGAACGTGTTATGCGAACGCTGGTGAGTAGACAGTTGCAACACATTCCCTGAAAACGTTTCGGTGGTGGAATATTCGTTTCACTAATCGGACGTTCATAGGCTGAACTCCTGGAGGTCGGATGAACTCTCGACATCCAGTTCTTTTGTCCAAAAAGTTCTGTGCCACTGACTCGCTGCACGACTAATTTTGTGGATGAACATGTCGTGTGGTGTCTAAATTCAATGATTTGCTAGGAACTCAAGACACAAAAGTATGCCAAGACACTCAAGCAACCCAAGACACAAAAGTAAGCCAGGTACCTCAAGAACGCCAAGTAACTGAAGTAGGCCAAGACACTGAAGCAATCGAAGACACAAAAGTAAGCCAAGTGCCTCAAGAACGCCAAGTAACTGAAGTAGGCCAAGAACCTGAAGCAACCCAAGACACAAAAGAAAGCCGCAAGTGCCTCAAGAACGCCAAGTAACTGAAGTAGGCCAAGAACCTGAAGCAACCCAAGACACAAAAGCAAGCCAAGTGCCTCAAGAACGCCAAGTAACTGAAGTAGGCCAAGACACTGAAGCAATCGAAGACACAAAAGTAAGCCAAGTGCCTCAAGAACGCCAAGTAACTGAAGTAGGCCAAGACACTGAAGCAATCAAAGACACAAAAGTAAGCCAAGTACCTCAAGAACGCCAAGTAACTGAAGTAGGCCAAGACACTGAAGCAATCGAAGACACAAAAGTAAGCCAAGTACCTCAAGAACGCCAAGTAACTGAAGTAGGCCAAGACACTGAAGCAATCGAAGACACAAAAGTAAAGCTGGCACCTCAAGAACGCCAAGTAACTGAAGTAGGCCAAGACACTGAAGCAATCGAAGACACAAAAGTAAGCCAAGTACCCTCAAGAACGCCAAGTAACTGAAGTAGGCCAAGACACAAAAGTGAGCCAAGACACTAAAACAACCCAAGACACAAATATAAGCCAAGTAACTTATGCACGCCAAGTAACTGAAGTAGGCCAAGATACCAAGGCAACCCAAGACACGAAAGTAAGCCAAGTACCTCAAGCAGGCCAAGTAACAAAAGTAAGCCAAGACACTGAAGCAATCCAAGACACAGAAGTACGCCAAGTACCTCAAGCACGCCAAGTAACTGAAGTAGGCCAAGACACTGAAGCAATCCAAGACACACGTAAGCCAAGTACCTCAAGCACGCCAAGTACCCGAAGTAGGCTTAGACACAAAAGTACGCCAAGACACTCAAGCACGCCAAGTAAGTGAAGTAGGCCAAGACACTCAAGGAACCCAAGACACACAAGTAAGCCAAGACACTCAAGCACGCCAAGTAAGTGAAGTAGGCCAAGACACTCAAGGAACCCAAGACACACAAGTAAGCCAAGACACTCAAGCACGCCAAGTAAGTGAAGTAGGCCAAGACACTCAAGGAACCCAAGACACACAAGTAAGCAAGTACCTCGGTACGCTATAAGACGCAGTGCACTGTAAGAATTTATACAATGATGTGAATGCTACGCGCGCTGTGATTGGTCGTTGCCCATGATCTATTAGAGTACAGATACATGGATGACGTCACGAGAAACTTGTTTTCTTTGTTTTGTTCAACATGGCACGCGGTTTTGAAAATGTTTGTGAGATTATTTCGAATTGAGGCAAGTGAAAGCCTCGGAAAAAGTTTAGCAGGAGCTATTTACAAAGAAGAAAAATGGAGAAACGGAGACCAAAAAAGCTATTGACTACTTGACAATGCCTAAACTACAAGAAATCTTCACAACAGTTGCCATTGTGTGTCTTCGCTACGAGAGACTCGCTGTTTTGCAAAATGTTTTCGCTATTATTCTTCTTTGAGCAAGAAAAGACGGTGAAAAACGTTTCGAAGAAACTGTACACAAGTAAGATAAAGAAGAAGCTAAGATGAAAAGTTGGGTTTGGGACTTAAAAAATGACTAAACTAGCACAAACCTCAAAAGGTCAAGCGGTTCGAGGCAGGTATGTGTATCGGTCTTTTTCTTTTCTAATCATTGTATAAAACAAATAGATTCCATGTTGCCGTGGGTCTGTTAAGTAATGGAGAGGTTAAGATCGGGTACCAATACCGATACCAATACCAATATCTTCCACAGCCGTAGTCGTTTCCGTCGTGCATAAATGAAGTTGTAAGTTGTTGAGGACGGATACCGGTAAAACATGGCGTTCGCCGACATCTCGTTCGAAGAAGCTCTAGTCCTTGAAGCTTATGAAGAAGACATTTTAGATGAAGAAGAAACTCTGCTGGCGTTTGAATTGCTGGATAAATCAAAAGACCCGATATTGCACAGAAACTACGCCAGATTTGATTTAAACCAATTTGACGAAACTGAGTGCGAAGAAATGTTTAGATTCTCGAAGGAGGATATACCTCGACTTGCAGAAGCCCTAAGATTGCCAAATAAATTCACAGGCTATCAGGGTACAATATGTGACAGTATTGAAGGATTGTGTTTGCTTTTACGCCGCCTGGCCTATCCCTGTCGCTATGTGGACCTAATTCCTCTGTTTGGCCGTGCAAAACAAGAGATATCCATCATTAGCAACCTAGTGCTCGATGCCATCTATTCAGTGCATAGACACTTGCTGAACACCTTTACCGCTCCATGGATGAGTCCCAGAAACTTAGCTGCATACTGCGAGGCCATTCATGACAAAGGTGCGGCCTTAGACAATTGCTGGGGCTTTGTGGATGGGACGGTAAGTTAATCTATGTATACATTTGATACAGAAATAATGCAAACCATTGTTTAATTATTGTTTTTGTTTAATCACAAACACAGGTAAGGCCAATTTGCAGACCTGGGAGAAGTCAAAGATTGGTATACAATGGACATAAAAGGGTCCACTCCCTTAAATACCAATCAGTTGTTGCAGCAAATGGTCTCATAGTAAATATGTATGGCCCAGTGGGT